GCAACATTCTCCGACCGAACTGATTTAGTTGAACACTTTATGACCTTAAATGATCATTAAACTGAATTTAACATGAATTTACTGAATTGGTTGATCGGACCTAATACTCGGTCGTGGCGCTCGCTACGTGCGAGGCCCACGGCCTTCGGCCATCCCTCGGCCACATAGCAAGTACCTTGACCGATTCTGAACCTACGTGAACTTAATATATCTCACATGAACATATACATTAAATAGGACCTGAAGGTACAGCAATCGCATATTGAACATAAAAGGGCTGCGGCGAACACCCGGGCGCCGCCGACGGCTATGTGCCGCCTCTCGGCCGAAATAACTTTTCCTCCGACAACTCCAGAACAATTCAAACTGAACATAATACTGGAACTATTTAAGGACTAATCACACGGACAAACATGATTAGAATTGAAGGCAACAGCCCTCGGCCCGAAGTCACCCGAGGCCATGCGCGATAGGCGCGGGGGCGTCGGCTGGGCCATTTCAGCAGCAATACCTCATTTAACTTCGACAATTCCGAACTTATTAAACATCAAACAGGCTGAACTGAATATATAAATGATCATAGTTCGCAAGTTGTCGGAAAGAATTGAAACTTGTTCGGTAATAACTTACTTAAGCATAATCGGACTTAGACACGATTTATTCTGAAATTCTCGACAATTAATCGAACTCTTAACCTTGAGGTATCCTAATTATCATGAACATGAGTTGAATAAGGGGTTACCTTCTCTGCTTGAACGATCGAATCGGAAAAATAGGCGTGTCTTCCCTCCTTGCGCGTACTCCGTGCGGTATCCTTATATGCCGTGCGGTTTTAGGAAGAAAACTTTAGGAAAATAGATGGAATTTAAGGGCTGCTGAAGGCTATTATGTATGCTGCTGAATATATGAGGAAAGATGGTGAAATTTTCCCAAAATTCCCTCTATTTAAAGATGGCCGAAGGGAGAGGTGGTGATGACATGGGTGTGGCGTGGCCACCTCAAGCTTTTGACACTTGCTTACCCATGGATTAAAATGGTATGACTAAGCATATAAGCATTCCTTACCTATGAAGAAAGCTTTGACTAATTGAGGAAATTCCAATTAATAAGATACTTACGGCTTTATGAATGAATATTAGGGAAAATTTCTAAAACTCACGCCTTCTTGCTTAATTGATGATTAATTAACATAATTAATCACAATCTATGTTTAATTATTTAATTAAACATAGTACTTAATTAACAAAATTATTTCGAACGTAAACGGTACGTCGAAAATACATTTCGGTAATCCCGACTAAACTTAATTAATTCCGAAAATAATAATCGATAACATTATTATATCGGAACTAAACGCAATTTATACCGATAAAATATCGGGATATTACAAATTCTATTTTTTAATAAATATATTTTTATTTAGTTTTTATATTATTTTAAAAAATGAACAAAAATTTAATCCCGCATCTCCTTCAACTGCGTTTTCGTCTTGTGGCTATGGAGATAGATCCAGTAGACCACCGAGAGGGGAAACCCGACTACAACTTCGTCGTCTCTTTCCTGATGGTCTTCCCCAAGCAGATGCTACCAACGAACATCAAATGCCCCCAGAAAATCCTTTCCCCTGCAAATTCGAATTCCTATTGTCGGTGCTTTCACGGCAGTCCGTCGGAGACGGCGCCGCGTCGCCAGTCGCGACCGTCCATGATGCTCGCCTCCATCTCCACTGCAGGGCCTTCGCGAAGGTGATGGAGTTCCCTGTCCGTTATGACGCCGGCATCTGAATCGATGTGACCCTGGGCTCTCTTAGGGTCATCACAGCCGCCGACGACCTCGGCAACGAGGTATGCACCGTCCTCGATGAATGCCCTGCCGCTGTACAGATCGAGGAAGAACACCTGTGGCGGCAGCAGATGAAATTTCTCCCTCAATCTGAGATCTAATTTTCTTCCTTTTTTTTTTTTGAAAATTAGGGGTTTCACCCTTTGTAGAAGGAGAGAAAAATTGAAGAGAAGTTGGTTCTCCCAAAAAAAGTCCTACGATCTTTTTGAAGTCCCAGTTAAGAAAATCCCTTCTCCTTAGCTTCGTCTGCCCTTTGGTCATTCTTTTTTTTTTTGGCAATCCTTCCAGTGAGCAAGAAGCATTTAGGAATAGCAGATGAGAAAGTCTGTTCAAGAAAGTGAAAGTGTGATTTTGATT